GTGAACAATAATTTGGAAGTTCTAAATATTTTTCTTCTTTGTGATCATGTAGATAATTGGTGATTCTCTTAAATAAATGGTAGAATCATCTTGTTAATATATGCAAAAAATTATACTAGAATATTTGTATTTTAACTAAATTTAATCTATGAATCAAACTTGGCAGAATTGTCAATAATAATGATTGTTCCAAACTACAATTATGATATATCCTCCCTATATTTAGACACCTTTAATCTAAGTACACTAAATCACCACTAAGTGTGGAGGCAAATGCACATCTAAAATCACAGCCAAGATCAACATACCTGGAACAGAAGCCACTGAAACCCTAAACTTGAAAGAATAATTTAATGTTGATTTGGATAAATTGTTGGTGATTGAGTAGGTTCTAATGTGAACACAAGAAATTTAATGTCATTAAATTCTCTTGAAAAAAGAAAAATACCTTCATGGCTCCAAAGAAATAATTGAAGTTTATAATCATTATAAACTAAACCTAGAGAGCTCTATAACAAAGTCCTACTCAACAGGAAAAAACACTCAATCAGAATTTAAGCTCAGTGAGGGGACGGAATTCTCCCACTCTGTCCCTTTCAGTCTTATGTGTCTACTCTTGGAGACCAGTGTCACACAGAGGGATGGGGCAGGGATGTTGTGAAGTATGTGGGGAGAGATTCCCTGTATCCAGGGAAGAGAGTAGGGCTCAGGGAAACAATCTACAGCCCCTGAATACACCTACAAGTTCCAGTCTTTTGAGAGAAGTCTGCCAAATGGTGAGAGTTAATTTTAAGACTGTCAAATGGTAATGTTCTCCTGAAACCTTTTTCTGCACCAGCAGGGTACCAATATAATAGCAGATTACAGCAGAATACTGCTGCAAGACACGGATTCCCTTTCAACAGAAGTACTTAGAACTAAGTTCAAGTTCCAACAGAAGGAGACAAGCTGATGTGAACCCTACAGCTACAACAAGTATGTGGTATTCTAGTTACTAACAAAATTAACACAAATTTCACACGAAAAGCCTACCTGCCACAATTCCAAGTACCCATAAAGCAAATGTGACTTTTCTAAAACACCCTCTCCTATTCCAATGTCCCGAAGTTTTTCTCTTGTGTTTTCTTCTAATTGTTTCTCATTTTTTCAGTTTTTATACTTAAATCTATAATTCATTTTGAGTTGAATTTTGTAACTGGTATGAGATAGAAGTCTAAATTTATCCCTTCATACTAATGCAATTTTCCAAACACATTTCATTGAAAAGAATTGCTATTTCTCCAGTGTGTGCTCTTAGTATCTTTGTTGAATATCAGATGTCTGTACATGCATATGTTGGCCTCCAGGCCCCTATTCTGTTAGTTTATGTACGTGTTTTTATGCCATCACCATGCTACAGATATGTAGAAGTCAGGGAATATAATGCCTCTTAATTTCTTCTTTTTTCTCAAGAAGGTTTTGGCTAGTTCTTTGGCTTTTTTTTTGGGGGGGGGGGTGCGGTTCCATATGAATTTTAGGATTGCTTCTCTAGAATTGTGAAAAATGTTATTGTTATTTGGGGAGAGACTACCTTGATACTGTAGATTGATTATTATAGCATGAACATTTTAACAATATTGACTTTTCCTTTCTTTGGTATCAGGGATTGAACCCAGGGGCTAACCACTGAGCCACATTCCCAACATTATTTATTTTGAGACAGGTTCTCTCTAAGTTGCTTAGGGCCTCACACATTGCTGAGGCTAATTTTGAACTTGTGATCCTTGGCCTCAGCCTCCCGAGTCTCTAGGATTACAGACATATGCCACCATGACTAGCAACTATATTGATTCTTTTAATCTTTGAATATGGAATGTCTTTGCATTTTTCTGTATCTTAAGTGTCTTCCACCAATGATTTGTAGTTTTCATTGTAGAGGTTTTTCACGTCTTTAGTCAAATTTATTCTTTTTATTGTAACTATTGTAAAATGGGATTGCTTTATTGACTTATACTTCAGATCATTTATTATTGCTGTATAGCAATGCTATTGATTTTTGTTTCATCCAGAGAACTTTCTGAATTCTTTTATTAGTTCTGGTGGATGTTTTGTGTTTTCTATATATAAGTTGTGTCATCAGCAAACAATGATTTCCTCCTCCTCCTCCTCCTCCTCCTCCTCCTCCCCCTTCTCCTCCTCCTCCTCCCCCTTCTTCTTCTTCTCCTCCTCTTCCTCCTCCTCCTCCCCCTTTTTCTTCTCCTCTTCCTCCTCCTCCTCCTCCTCTTCCTTCTTCTTATTTTCTCCTCCTCCTCCTCCTCCTCCTCCTCCTCCTCCTCCTCCCCCTCCTCCTCCCCCTCCCCCCCCCCTCCTCCTCCTCCCCTTCTTCTTCTTCTCCTCCTCTTCCTCCTCCTCCTCCCCCTTCTTCTTCTCCTCTTCCTCTTCCTTCTTCTTCCCCCCTCCTCCTCCCCCTCCTCCTCCTCCTCCTACTCCTCCTCCTCCTCCTTCTTCTTCTTCTTCTCCAGTTTGGATGATTTTATTTTCTTTGTCTTGCCTGATTGCCCTTCCAGTACTTTCAAAGATTAGTTTAAATAAAGTGGTAAAGTGAGCATTCTTCTCTTTTCCCATATCTTAGAGCATGAGCTTTCAGTTTCCCCCACTCAGTACAGGGTTAACTGTTGGTTACTTATTCACAGATTTAAATATGTTGAGGTATATTCTTTCTGTACCTAATTTGTTCAAAATTTTTATTATGAAGTCAGGTTAAATTTTATCAAACGCCTTTGAGTTGTTAGTCAACTTTTTCTCGCCAAAATACCTGACAAGACAAACCTAGAGGAGGGAAAGTTTATTTTGGTTCATGGCTTCAGAGGATCCAGTCCATGGTTAACTGACTCCATTGCTCTGGGGTCCTAAGGTGAGGTAGAACATCATGGCGGAAGGAATGATGGAGGAAATTTCCTCAGCTCATGGCTGTTAGAAAGCAAAGAGGTAAAGAGAGAAACAAGTGACAATAGATAGTCCCCAAAGGCACATTGCTAGTGACCTAGCTCCTCCAGTCATGCCCTACCTGCCTACAATTACTACCCATTAGTCCACTCAAATTAATCCATCCATTAGATTAATTCGCTGATGAGGTTACAACCCTCATGATCCAGACATTGTCTAAAATCCACACCTCTGTACCTCTGTACCTCTGTACCACACCTCTGATAGATGCTTTCAACATAAGAGTTTTTGGGTGGAAATTCCAGATCCAAATCATAACACTTTTTCTTAATCTATTGATATGATTTTTGTCTTTCATTTATTGGATGTGTTATTTCAAATAAAATGATTCGTGTGTATTCAACAATTCTTTCATCCCTGGAATGTAATCCACCTTACCATGTTGAGTAGTCTCTTAATATGTTGTTTGATTTCATTTGTAAGTACTGTATTATTTTACTTATATGAAGAATATTAAAATTTGTTTCAAAAGAAATTACAATTATATGGAGATTTCCAGAGGTTGGAGAGACTGGGGAACAGGATAGATAGGAAATGTTGGAACAATGGACAATAAGTTATGATTAGATTGAAGTTCTGTGTGTTACTGAAGTGGAGTGAACACAGTTTATGATTGTGTATTGTAACCTAAAAGCTAAGATACCAAAGTGGTTTTTCCCCCAAAATAAGTGATAAATATTTGAATAAATTGATACATTTAACCTGATTACAATATATATATATATATATATGAATACCATGTGTAACCTTATTAATATGTGCCATTTTGTGTCTTTACACATCAGTAAAAAATAATTTAAAAACAAATGAAAACAAATAACATATCTAGCATTTAACAACAACAAAAAATACAAGTCAGGGCTGGGGATGTGGCTCAAGGGGTAACACGCTCACCTGGCATGTGCGGGGCACTAGATTCGATTCTCAGCACTACATAAAAATAAAATAAAGATGTTTTGTCCACCGAAAACTAAAAAATAAATATTAAAAAATTCTCTCTCTCTCTCTCTCTCTCTCTCTAAAAAAAAAACACAAGTCATTCAAAAACGTTAAAAACACCACATACTGAAGAGAAAAATCAATCATCAGAGCTAGACTCAGATTTAATATGATGTTGAATTAACGGGCTGAGAACCTCAATTTATCTGTGGATATATGTTTATAGATTATTTAACTTATTCTGTTAATAAATCATGTTTTTGGTTTTCTATTGGTGAACTTTCCTTTCATTCTTTAAGTAAAACTCTCTTAGACATGAAGTATTGCCTATTTCATATATTACTGTATTACATTTGTTAAAATATTCCTAAGAATTTGGCATTAATGCTGATGAGAAATATGGACTTATAATTTCTCTGTAGATGACATTACATTTTTTATTGGAAATTTTTTATCCTCAAAAAATACAATGATGTGTTTCATCTTAGTTTCTGAAAGACAAACTGTTAAGAATTAACCAGTATAATCATTGTCTCTTAATTTTTTATTTTATTTTTTATTATTTATTTTTTTAGCAAAGTTTGTAATCATTTTAATCATTCTATTTCTACATGAGATATAGAACTATTCAGGTATTTATATTTTCTTGAGACATCTTAGTAAATTTAACTTAAGATAATTATGTTTTAGATAAAAATAAAATGGTTTTCACTTTTTTCCTATGACATATTTTACACATACACAAAGATAAATATTACAACAAATACCTTACACCTCTATATTGCTTTTTTCATGAAAAAAAACATTTAAGCTAAATTTCATTATTATCATAAAAGCCTTTGGGCTTTTAGACACAGAATTCTTCTATTTTACTGAAGTAGAAAATATAGATATTGGTAACAATTCATTTAATGAAAAGGAGAAAGTGATGGATGAGAAAAAGGCATTAACAAAAAGAAAACAAGAGAAGAAAAGAATGTCAGTAAAGAAAGAAGAAGTTGGAAAAAATAATCATGATGTAAAATATGTCATTTAAGTTCTTATATATAAGAGAAGGATATTGGCATAGTTAATGATGTTATCAATTCATCTCCGTTTATTGTAATAAAAAAATTAATGCTCATGACGAATTGATTATGTAAGATAAAGTTTATTATACTATGTCAGATACTGAAAGGCAAACATTTGCAGAAACACAAATGATTCCCCATCCAGTACAAAGAGAGATGAAGAACATCATCACTAAACAGCATCACTATTCAAATGCCAGCATCGAGTTCATCTAGTTTTCTTCACATTACAGTCAGAAACCATGTGGTCCAAATAGAAGTTCAGCTATAAAGACAAGATGAGAAAAGCATACAGGTTGTGGAATGAAGTTTTCAAAACAATCAAGGGCAGGCATTGTAAATTTTCAAGTATTTATTCAGAAGTATCCAGAGATCCCGTATTCTCCACTGCATGATGGGCGGCAACATCCATATCCATAGCTTCTGTAGTCGAAACCATATCCGGGTTCTCCAAAGCCAGAGCCACATCCATATCCATGGCCTCCAAATCCACAGCCACCTGTCAGTCTGCGGAAGCTGCCATATCCATAGCCTCTGCCATATCCACAGCCATATCCACAGCCATGGCCATAGCCCAGTCCACCAAAGCTTCCAAAGCCGCAGCCCAGGCCTCCGTAGTAGCTGCCGTAGTAGCTCATGGTGTCAGGAGTGGTAAGTTGGTTTGGAGTTGTACAGCAGTTGTGTGAATGCCAGTGTCCAGGGACTCCTTATATACTCTGATGGTGTAGAAAGCCGCACCTCCAAATGCCATCTCCATTAGAACAAATTACTTGAAAACGATGCCAACTACCTTGTTTCCTAACAACCAGCCGCTTATGGGTGCAACTAGCTCTTTAAAAATTATGCAATGTGTTTGATGTTCTGCTTTATTTGGATTCCTACAGAAACATTTCAGCTCTAATAAAATACTGTGGTGTTTATATTCTTCGTATATGTTTGAGTTTTTGAGTTTCAAACTCCATAAACAAATCCCTACAGCTTCACATATTCAAATTGCATCACATGAGCTTGCATTTACCCTCTAATTGTACTTTTTTCTTTGACGGTCTATGGTTGCTCATTCTTTTCCAAGCCGAGTTGTGTACCTCCATTCTGCCGAGAATTCGCATGAATTTAATCGTAATTGTTCCCTGAAATGTTCCTCCTGTTTTAAAAATGGCAGTCAGCTATGATACATGTCTTGATACAAAATGCTTTTAAAGTCAGCTGAGAATCACATTTTGTAGTGCAATGGTAATGCTTATTTTTTAAACAGCCACAAAATGATGTCAAAGGAATTTCCCAGGCCTCATGTCTCCTGTAGAGACAGCCTGGTTGGTGGATAACTTGAAAGACTGCTTAGAGAAAGCTTTCCTAATTCTTCGTAAATAACTTTGCCACAAATTTATTCTTATTTTGGATTATAAATTCTATAAAATCATAGAACAGTGTAGTTACAGAATTTAAAAAAAATAGATGATTGTTTTTTAAAACAATAAGAAAAGTATAATTTATAGAATCAGAATTTGTGGCAATGATCTTTAGTGGCAGGTAAAGACTAAAACCTAAATGTTTTAATTTTTGGCCTTTGTTCAACAGGTAATTTGAATTAAGAATATAATTGCAGTTTAGACTCTTGCATGAAGTGGTGCACACCTGTAATTCCAGTAACTCAAGAGGTTGAGACAGGAGGATGAAAAGTTCAAGGTCATTCTCAGCAATTTAGCAAAAACCTGTCTCAAAAAATAAAAAATAAAATAATAGAAAGGACTGGGGATATAGTTCAGTAGTAAACACCCCTGGTCAATTCCCTGTGTGTGTGTGTGTGTGTGTGTGTATACATGAATGAGTGAAGTTAGTAAGGTTTGAAAATTTCTTGTACAATATTCAATTGCCTCATGTTCTGTTTATTCACACTATAATGGTAAAAAATGCATGTGACATAAGACCAGTTAATATTCATATTTAGCTACTTTGATTATTTTAAAGTTCAAATTAATATAATAACACCCAGATTATAGATGACATTTGAACTTCATTTGTATTTGTTAAATAAGTTTCCCTTATAAGTTTAAGAGTAAAATGTAATTGGCTGCTTATATATTTCCATATAGATGGTACTTTGCAACTTATAAATTTAACAGAATTATTAATGATAAATAACTTCTCTACTTCAGTTTAGTTGAAGGATTAGCCCATCTTGAGGAGTGCTGTGTATTTCTACTTCTTTTCACCCAAGATGGAGGCATATACTGCTATTCCATTGTCATTTCTGAATATTTTTAAATGAATTGATTGATTGCTTTAGTCAGAAACTTCTCTTGTTGCTAAAAACTTTTGCTTTTGAAAACTATTTTTATTCATATTTCCATTTTAGTAGCATCTTTTCTTTCCCTTCTACTTTATTAATTTTCCCCTTAGCTATGACCAGTCAAAAATCATATTTTTTAGTTTATGTCATGTCTAATCAATTTGTATATTTTCTCCTAGAAATATTCACTTAGTCAAAAAAAAAAGGTTCAGATATTGTCAGTCGTCAGGCTATACCCTGAGCTTCCACCAGGGAAAAAAAACACTGCCTGCCCTGCCATAGGGAATGATAGAAGTGTAAATTTCCACCACATGCCATTTTTGGATTATTCTTTTTGTTTTCATACACTCCATAGTATTTTTGGAACTTTCATATCTATTTAACTTTAGAGGGGATTTTATGTCTTATTATTTCAAAAAAATTGCTTTGCACATACACGTACATACCACCCCACAGGTATGCGTGCACATACACACACATACTCACACACACACACTACTCAAAGAATGTCATGTTGGTGAATATAAATAGTAAAAAGCATCAGCAAATTAATTATACTGTATCTACTCTTTACAGCTGAAAAGTACAAAAAATATTTATAAAACTCTGGAAATTGAACACAAATATGTGGCCATCAACACCCATAAGCCCATCTTTTTTCTTAGTAAGATTTCTCCCTTGTCCCCACAGATTTCTGCCAGAAGATGGTTCATCTTTTAAGCACACTTTTATTTCCCCACTATCTCACTCTGGCCCAATCCAGTTATTACAGGAAACAACAACCATCAGGCCAGTTCCTGATTTCTCTTCCTCATCAACACACCTATCTACATTGAAATATATTTTAATTTCTCTTTTGAAAAGTGTTTAAAAACCATATTCTGATTTTTTTATCTTTCCAAATGTCACCACCACCAGCTAACATTTTCAGTCTTCCCTAACGTTCCCTTCTTGACCAAGAACTTCAAAAATATTCAGTTATCTAAATCAGTAATCCAGATTCATATGTGAGTCAAGGTTTTTTTCCCAATTCCCTTAAATTCTAATTAATTTTGATGTATTCATTAAGTAGATAATACAGAGCATTTATTCTACTTGACTTGTAGAAAAGGTAGCAAAAAGAAAAATCCTCCAATTCCTTGAGACTAATAATTTAATGGAGGAAAGAAATTATAAACAAATATAGACCTAATGTATCCATCTATTCAACATATAAAATATTTGTTAAATGGCCAATAAGGACTAAAGGTTTCTCTAGCCATTGGGAAGAATAAAAGTAGTGACAAAGTAAGGAAAAAATGGAAACTCTTCTTTTCCTGAATGTTATAGTCTAAGAGGAAAGACGGGCAGGGCAGGCTACATGTAGTCTATCAAAGAAACATGTTGTTACAATAGTGATAACTGCAAGGGAGCAAATGTAAAGCATAAGTGAGACATGTGATGACTAATGGTAGGTATTGTATATAGATACATTTGTAGGAAAGATCTGAAAAACGTGGCTTTTGGATAAATCTAGAGGATGAAATAATAGCCATGCACTGTCTGGGAAAGAGTAGGCCAATCGGAATGAACAGAAAATTCAAATGCCTGGATATAGAGTTCACTGGTCTTCCTTGAGGGCAAATTTGCCTAAAGTAAAATGAATTTAGGGAAGAGGAAATGAAGACTGCATCAAAGACTTAAGATTAAGTAGTTTTGTCTTAAATATTTATACTCTGAGCAGAACTGGTCACACCATACCTACCAGTGTCATAGCAAGGGCTTTGAGTTTACTCTGAATCAGGTGGGCTGGAGTCATTCAGCAGCATGGGAGACTATGCCTGTGCTACACTGCACAGCAGATGTTTCCCAATATTGTCCCTATCCTTACAAGACACACCATGTTTCACCCTGCCATCATATTCATATGATAGACTTGATTCTCATGACTAGGCTATGTGATAAGGCACAGTTGACTCTGGAAAGGGGAATTATCTGGGTGGGACTGACCTAATCAAATGAACCCTTTAGAAGTCAAGTTCCTCTACTTAGTTACAGAAGCAGAAATCATCTGCTGAAACCATGAAGAGGATTTGACAAGTCTCTGCTGGCTTAAAGATGGAGGGGGGGCATGTGACAAGGAATGCAAATGACCTCTAGTTGCTGAGAGTAATGCCTGACTGAAAACCAGCATCTAGATGGGGACTCATTCAAAATCATAGCAACTGGATCTTTCCAGACTCCAGAATGCACATAGAAGCCCCAGAGCCTCCAGTTAAGAACTCAGACCCACCTATACTTTGATTTCAGTGTAGGATGCTCTGGGCAGACAACGTAGTGATGGCATCCCAGCTAAGAAAGGGTTCTTATTTCAAGTTGATATATTTTGGTAATTTCTTATGCAGCAATAGAAAATTAGTGGAGTTTCTTCAATTTTGGCCCTGAATACTTTTACAACTTGAATTCCTAAAATGAAATCACTGGGAGTACTACAAAACTTCACCATATAAGTTTTGTCACACAATTGAAATTCAGAAGGGGCTCCAGGAGAATGGAGAAAATCATCTCAGTATGGAACGTGGGATCAATATACATCTCCAAGGTAAACGTAGGGGAGGTTGAGCTTCTCAAGATTGCTTTATGACCCTTCAGCTTGGACAGATGATTGATGCCACTTTAACTCCATACTTCACTTGTCAGCCTTCAAAAAAGACTGCTGCTCTTTATCTGAAAAGTTTTCTTCTCTAACAGATCAGAAAACTAAAGTTAAACAATTCATCTTCTGGTTCTGATGGTGGCACTTATTGGGACTCTGGACAAATCATTATGTCTAATCTCATTTTGAAAACCAGGATGTAAACAGCTTTCCATCATTCAAACAACTATTGGATATATTTTAAAAATATAGAGGTAAATGTTTTGCAAATGTAAAAGTCTATAAAATTTTTCTAGTGAATAAAAATATCCTTAAGTAATGTTTTACACTTAAGAGAACTCAATGACATATATTCAGTCACATATTTCTCATTAAAACCTAATAGCACCCAAATGATGTCTTTCTGATGTAATCAGTTCTATAAATTTAATTTTTCAACTTTTAATAGTTGCAGAACAGAACAGAACATTGATTCTTCAGACTTCTCTCTTCTATTTTATCTACCCACTTCCAGTAATTGCCAGTAAATGGCCACCATTATTTTTGAGGAGGGTTATCACCTATGAAGTAGGAAGCACTTCCCAGGCAGTCCAAGTTCTTTTTTCCAATATCTAGTTTCTAAAAGGATCTCTGGAAAATGTTAAATGGGAACATATCTACTAGAGAAGTCTGCACCTGCTTTAGGTTATGGGGACATGGGTTGTATAGAGCACTTAGACTAATACAAACACTATGGTCCAGAA